CCCCCACCCCCCCAACTGAAACGCCTGCTACCACCAACAAGTAAAATAGCAAAAACAGCTCCTCCTCTCCCCCTTCTTTTTATCCCGTTCATTGTGCCAAATTAAGATTAAAAAAAAAAAAAGGGAAAAGGAATATGAGAACGAAAGAAAAGAAAAGAAACAAACAGAAGATTATAAAGGATGGAGATTACGACGGGATGCGCGACACTAATTCGGAGTTTTTCCTGTAATACACTTTTCCTGTCATACACCTTTTTTTTTTTTGTTTTTTTTTTTTGTTTTTCCTGTCATACACTTTTCTTTCACTTCACTGCTCATAGCCAATGATGCATTGGCAAATGAGTTAGCAACTTTCTTCCTCGATTATCATCAGTTCCTTATAATTCTTTATAACTTATGTAGTAAGTAAAACTGTATTCATCAGTTATAAAAAAGTATCAGTCAGAGTCTCAAAAGTCAAAATGTCTTATTACGGTAAGAACGATATGTTCACGCGTTTTATTGTTTACATTTTTCAGCTTCTGTGCAAGACTTCATTCCAGACGTTACTCCGGCGGTGATTTTCGTGGCTGCAAGTGGAGCTATATTTTTATGTCTCATTGGTCTGCTATTTCTACCCATTTCGCGAAAACGAGCAAACCTGCAAGCCTCACAAACAAATTTACAATAAAAAGGAATGTAACTTTGAGTAGTTTTGTACTGAGTGTTAGCCTGAGTCACTGAAATGCTTAGATAACAAGATGCACGTCATAGCCGCAAGCTAAGGCCATAAGGGCAAGAGCAAAAAGAGCGTTCACAATTGCAAACATATGCTGATCTGAATGTCACCTCCAGGCTTGGGAAACCAGTGGAATGACCTTATCCCTGCCAAGCAATCTAGTTCCGTTCAAAATAGAATTAATATTTCAACGCAAATCTGTCACATGATGAGTGTAATTTTTATCCGGTTCGAAATTATGTTTGTGGTTTCGAAAAACGAGAACGTTCTGAATTCTAATAAGTCCTCAAGCAAGTTTCCATTTCTTCATTCGTTTGATTGAGTGAATTGCCTGGAGCCATCTGTATATATAAATGAAGCGTTACGCCTTGAAAATGAATAAAAAACAGAAGCCACATGAGGAAATTGTCTCTTTTTTCCTGTTTGAGAGCTGACATGGCAGGCATTTTACACGACACTGTTAAGGAAACTAAAACTAACCGCATCTCTATAGCGGGCTCTAGGGTTGGTCTGTCCCTTCCTCCTCCCTGTCATGACCTGTCATAACATTCCTACAGTTTCATCATAGACACGCTCTAAAACAGTTTAAAATTTGTTATGATTCACTGAAAGTACATCCAAGAAGGTTGAAGGAGGTTGAAGTCTACAAAAACGTGAAATATGGATCGAGGAGTGTCGGTAACGGAGCAGAGGCTGGCTGAAAAGTTGACGATCTTGAATGATCGTGGAATTGGGATGCTCACCCGCATTTACAACATCAAGAAAGTAAGAGACAGAAAAAGCACGTAGTTCTCCTAGTTAACCCTAATATGCTCCCTTATACTCTGGCTAAGTGATGCTCTGTTACCTAAAGCAGACTAGAGCACCTTTGAGAGATTCTTGTCTGACAAACCTTCAACACAATCAGCTGTTAATGTTAGCTCGCCTGCAGTTGTGAAATCAATTACTTTCAAGTTTGTTCCGTGGTCATTTATTTCCTCCCGTCATTTTTCTTCGGTTTTCTCTTACTCTAGAAGATCCTTATCACGAATTTTTTTCTTAAGGCGATGTTTCTTGTTGTTCTCACAAAATCACCCAATATTGCAACGCAACCTTACATGACATTTAAAGGGCTGAACGTGTACAGCTGATAACACCGGTGTCCTGTTCTACTCGCATAATTTCTGTCCCACGAACTTATTGGAATATTCACATAGGATTGGGAATTTAATAAAAATTTCTTGCTGTTACAGGAGTAAAGACTGATCTTAGAATGCGATCAGCAGGCGTCAAACCCGTCGTGCCTTAAATAATTGTCGGTGCAATGTTTCTGGGTTTTTGTTTTTTTTCTTTATTGTTTTTAAGGCATGTTCTGATTCCAAATCAAGGCCAGGCTTTTTGACAGATAAAGCACTGGATCCAGCAATCAAGGCCATTGTTAAAAAATTTCCTGCAACAGACACCAAGGTACATTCTTCCATAATTACAGTTACTTAGTTATTTGAAGTTTAGCCCTGCCAGAGGCACTGCACTTAGTTGTGACGAGAAAGTCTTTTGTGTGTGGACTGTTTAAAAAAATATTCCTTCATGTACTTTTCTCATGTAATGTTTTCATGAAAGTAAACTTTATTGTTCTTGTTGTTGTTTGTTTAGAGTCTTTCACTTCAACCAGTTCACAGCATCCAGAATGAGGTTATCAAGGGCCTGTCAAATTATTATTATACATTTGTGGATGTTATGGAATTCAGAGTAAGTTTTACTGATGCATACATAGACACTGCATGATGTTGTTACACTTATCAAGTATAATGTGTGACATGCGTAAATTTGGCCATAAAGGAGATAAACAGTGACAAGGTGCATTTTTTTGGAACAGCTTAAACATCAAGTTATCTCAAGTTTCTTCGGAAGAGTACTCTTGAACGGATTGCTACTGAACTATATAACTATACAATGACAACCAATTGTGGACAAGATTATTTCACTAAGAGTGTCACCAGGTGGTATACATTATACCATTATAAGTTCTTGAACACCTTCTACACAGTTTTTGTAATCAAAGTCTTTTCAACAGTGGGGTCTGGAAACCATGAATTGATTGTGTTTGAGTGTATAAATTATTGTTTTATTCATTTTGATCTAGGACAACACCAGTGAGCTTCTAACAGAGATTGATGCCAGTTTTGTTCATTTTGACATTGTACGTGGCTTTTGAGTTTTCCATTATTTTACTAATATTTTATCCCTGTTTCTCTTGACAATGCAACATTTTACAAGCATGATCTTATTGAACAGAGATTTCTGGAAGGTAACAATGATATCTACTCAAGGAACACAAATTAGTGGTGTTAAAGAAGACACTTCATCGTTACTGAAAGATCAATGACTCAATCACTAGTGCTGTTGGCAGTAGCTTCAACCCATTTTCTTATTTGAAAAAAGGTGAAAAATTCTAGGGTTGTTGTTAAGCACCAGCAGCCGGCAAAACTCACCGGCTGAGAAAGAGGCAGTCACCGGCTGAATTTTCTCTGGTAATTGCTTAACAGACGAGTCTAGATTTTTTCACAGTTTATAAGCTGCAGAATTATGAAAAGGTGAAATGAAGTGTTATTTTGAATTCACTGGTCTTAACTGATCTGTGGTATCTCTCTCTGTTTTGGATCGCCATTTTGCAAACTCAAAGCTTGGTAGCCCCGTAGACAAGGTGTTGCAAACAACTGGACACAGCCAGCTGAATGGCTTCCTCAACTGGCAGGCTATTTTCTTAGCTATAACAGTGAATTCTGGCAGTAATTAATAGTCCATTTAATAGTTGCCTGCTTGGTTGCCAAGGCCTTGAACAGGAGTGAGGCTAAGGGTGACCCTGTCATGATATAAACATTGCTGCTTTTTAAATGTAAATTTCTTTGTTATCATGCCATCCGGATACTGGTCACCTTCAGCCTCACTCCAAATCAAAGGCTTGGCAACCAAGCACACAACTATAAAATGGTCTATTCAATTTGATTTTCATTGTTACATCATTAAAAAAAAACTATTTTGATGTTGCCTACTGTAGATGTTAAACTATGACTTGACTAAGGCTTATTTGGATGTGATTGTTACGTACGCGGCGCTTATGATGCTGGTCGCTCGAGTGGATGATCGTAAAGCTGTCCTGGGTCTATTTAATCATGCCTATGAGATGAAGAATGGCAGAGGGTAGGTGGATGCAGATGCTCAGCAGTTATAGTGTAATGATGTACAGTGTACAATGGATAGAGCGCTGGACTGTTGTGAGGGAGGTCGAGGGTTCGAGTCCCGGCCGGACCAACACTTGAGTTCTTAAAAAAAACGAGGAGAATATGCTACCTTTCTATAACATCAAGAAATGGTTAGATATTCTAGTCTTCTCGGATAGGGACGAATAAATGGAGGTCCCGTCTCCTGCAGGAGGAGACGTTAATTTCCCACGCACGAGATTACTGTGTGATGGATGTCCTCCCCTGGGGTGGGATGGGTGGGTACAGATAGAGGACCACCCTAATTAACTTAGTGTTACTTGTGATATCCTCTATAAATATTGTTTATTATTATTATTATATTATATTCACGCTTACATTTAACCATGTATCTTTAATAGCAAGGAGGAGGACTTACACTCAAAACTTTAATACATGTGCTTTTCAAAACTCTTTAGAACTGTGTTATCTTAAATTGTTACTTCTCATACCTGATAGCTATTTTGGACAGAATAGAGGAAAATTAAAGGAAAAGAAATTTTTTCAAAACTATTTACTAGTTACAACAGTACTTAAGTGTCTCCTTCTGATTTGTTTTTAATGAATAATGCACATGCACAAAGCAAAGGAAAAAACAGCCAAGTATACACCTGGCGATTTCCCTTCACATGGTCTTGAACTTGTATAATTAAAAACATTTCATTTTATTGCCCTTTTTTTTTTTTTTTTTTAGAGAAGACTCCTTTCCACGACTGGGTTCTATGATCATTGAATATGAAAACCCATTGAAAAAGATTGCGGAGCAGTTTGTTCCACATCAACAGGTTAGATATTAGTGATCCTATTTCAAAACCCGCTAACACATTTTCATTCTTGTGTTAATTTTATTGCTGTGTTGTCATTCTGTGGATATTTATGTGAATGTAATGGTTTTTTTAATTTATCAATTGATTGATCATATTAAGTGATTGTGTTGGACAGTGACTGCGACATTACTGGCACTCTTAGGCTCAAAGCACTTAATATTGCTTAATTTGTTTCAGAGAGTATCAACTGCACTCCATTCAGTTCATGAGATCTATAAGAGAAGAAACACTCCTGGAGAACAGGTGAGTTTTATTTGGAGGAATCATGTTAGTGAGGGGAAAACAATGCTTATTCAAATTGCTTCAAATGCAGATTGTTAAAAGTCTTTGTTGCTTTTTACATAAATGAGATTTGGATTTTGCTTTTTATCCTCAGTGGCGTCAGACACAGATTGTTAGTATCATCAGTGCTCCATTACAGATGCTTAATCCAGTCACCAGTGATGTAGTAAGTGCCATCTTTAAGTCTCTGCATGTTACACTGTTTAGTTTAGTTTTAGTTTAGTTTATTGAGATTTGCCACTGAAAAATACAATTTACAAGTAAATACATGAACAGAGACACGCGATAAATAAACAAAAATATAATGGCAGGAGAAAAATACAGGGCGAGCCCCAATTGACATTTGTCCCCTTACAAAATACAAAGAATAGAAAAATATAGGTTACATATGCACTTATGAACTGTCGTAGTTCATCCAGTTTACTGAACTCTTGCAATGTTTCGAAGGAGTGATTTCTCTGACTTTTAACTATTTTAATATACAAGGTCAGGCAGACACTTCATGAGATTGGACAAAAATTAATACGAGCTGGGTATCATTACTGAAACTGTTAAATTACAAAATTCTCAGCAATACTAGACAAAGAAATTTGTGATAATCGTTTAAATGACTGAGTTCATTCTCATATCTTGGCAGTGAATGACCAACAGTTGAAAATTTTTAATGGTTCTCCTTGAAAGTATGTACATGGTTTGTTGCAATCAAATTGGGTTGAATAACAAGTGGGAGATGAAATAACTATCATTTCAATTAGTAAACCAGGTTGAATACTGAGGTCAGATTAAATCTACAAGTTACATGACATTTTGCTTTAATTTGCAGCCTCCTGTGGAGTACCTTTCACTGGACAGAATGCAGAAGTGGATCTTGTGTAAGTGTTCTCAAGAATGGTTTTATTTCATCAAGGAACTTGATTTGTATTTTACTTTTAATTATTTTATTTCCATCAAAATTGCTGATTAAAGGAGGTACATACAGGTATGTTTCTATGAAGAAACTGTGGTGCTGTGTCAGTGTAGGGTATTACATGAAAATTTGTCGTCATCAACTGAGTTAACAAGTCAGCCAGACACTCAGGTACTAATGACTCAGTCAACCAGTCAGTTAGTCACTCAGTGAGTTAATGAACAGATGTTTAATTAAGTTAACTGGCCGCCTTAGAGAGATTTTAAAGCTGATGCTTCAAGCATTAGCACTCTGATGATGGG